GGGCAGAAGACATGGACAGACATTTCTGCAAAGAAGACATCCAAATGGCCAACAGACATATGACAAAGTGCTCAACATCACTCATCATCAGAGAACTACAAATCAAAACCACAATTCGATACCACCTCCCACCAGTCAGAATGGCTAAAATTAACAAGTCAGGAAATGACAGATGTTGGCAAAGATGTGGAGAAAGGGGAACCCTCCTACATTGTTGGTGGGAATGCAAGTTGGTGAAGCCACTTTGGAAAACAGCATGGAGGTTCCTCAAAAAGTTGAACATAGAGCTACCCTATGACCCAGCAATCGCAGGTATTTACCCCAAAGGTACAAATGTAGTAATCCGAAGGGGTATGTGCACCTGAATGTTTATAGCAGCAATATTCACAATAGCCAAACTATGAAACAACCTAGATGTCTATCAACAGATGAATGGATAAAGAATATGTGGTACATAAATAAATTGGAATATTATGCAGCCATCAAAAATTGAACTCTTGCCGTTTGCAACAACATAGATGGAACTAGAGGGTATTATGTTAAGCGAAATAAGTCAATCAGAGAAAGACAATTATCATATGATTTCACTTATACGTGGAATTTGAGAAACAAGACAGAGGATCATAGGGAAAGAGAGGAAAAAATGGAACAAGACAAAACCAGAGAGGGAGACAAACCGTAAGAGACTCTTTTTTTTTTTTTTTTAAAGATTTTATTTATTTATGAGAGAGAGAGAGAGAGAGGGAGAGAGAGCGAGCACAGGCAGACAGAATGGCAGGCAGAGACAGAGGGAGAAGCAGGCTCCCTGCAGAGCAAGGAGCCCGATGTGGGACTCGATCCCAGGACGCTGGGATCATGACCTGAGCCGAAGGCAGCTGCTTAACCAACTGAGCCACCCAGGTGTCCCCCGTAAGAGACTCTTAATCTCAGAAACAGACTGAGGGTTACTGGGGGGTTGGGGAGGTTGGTTAAATTTATTTTACCTAGGGTGGCTAGGTAAAATAGGGTGGCTCAGTGATGGACGGTGGGGAGGGTATGTGCTATGGTGAGTGCCGTGAATTGTGTTAAGACTGATGAATTCAGACCCTGTACCCCTGAAATAATAATACATTATATGTTAATTTTTTTAAAAAGTAAGACACAAAGAAGTCATATATTACATGATCCTCCTTGTACTAAATGTCGAGAAGAGGAAAATCTACAGCAAGTAGATTAGTGGTTGCTGGAGGAGGCAGGGGTGGAGGGTAGGGGCAGAGCAGCTGGAGGGAGGGGTAATGGAAAGTGACTACGGATGGATATGAATTTCTTTTTGGAGTGATGAGAAGGTTCTGTAATCAGATAGCGGGGTAGTTGCACAACTCTGAACATACTAAAAACCACCAAATTGCATGCTTTGAAAGGGTGAATTTTATGTGAATTACTTCTCAAACTTTTTTTTTAAAGGGAGGGAGGAGGCTTAATGAGATTTGGCATGAAAAGGACTTGTTGTAAAGGCCGAAGAAAGGCATGGAATTTGGTATTTATATCCAGGCAAAGACAAAGAGTGGAAGAAAAAAAAGCATAGAAAAGAATACCCAATAATTACATCCTTAAGAGTCTCAACATTAAAAATAAAGGTCTTAATTACATTGCTTGTATCATGAGACAAATCATTTTCCCCTTTTGGGAAAGTATATGGTGACTTGCTCATTTTTTTTTCCCTTAACCTACTAAAAAATTACCAGAAGCTTTTCTTAGTTCTTTTTAGGCTATGAATTGTGCAACAGTCTCAGCTGCAAATCAAGCAACTTAATGATGTTGTAGCACTTAAACTCACTTGAGCTTTGTAAGAACTTTTTAAATAAAAGCATACAGTTTGTACCTTATGCCAGGACATCATATCCTACCCATCCATACTTGCCCCAGTGAAACTCAGACTTCCCTGGATTTTCTTTTCCTCATTCTTTGAATTTTAATCTGTGTGTTTTTAGTCTTTGAATTAACTGAGAAGCCTTTTCGTTCTGTGAGCTAAGCACATTCCTTCAAAACCACAGGCATCCACTTCTCATCGGATTTATGACAATCACAACATTGGCATGCAGGTAAAAAAAAGAATTCAATTTGCTTTTCCCATCACACCTCCAGTTACCTCAGGGAACCTCACTTTAATGGGAAAGAAGGACAATTTCTGCCATCCTAACCATGTCAAAATGTTCCCCAGTGTTCCTCAGTGGGGTCCTCCGAACACTTCCAGAGCTCCGTCCGGCTATTGAATCGTTAGGGTTTTGCCTCTCAGAAAAAGGTGGCATTTCAAGGAAAAGGGATTCTAACAGACAGCACCCCAGAGGAACGTCCCTTCTTCAGAACAGCCTCTTTAGGAAATTCCTTTCTAAACCTAATAAGTTTATGGATTAAACTACTTTCAAGGATGGAATGGCCTGAGAGCATTCTAAACTGAGATTAGGACTTGATCCTTTGTTCGACACACAACATGGATCACTCAAAGCATTTAATAAATATTTAACAGAATTGAGTCAGTAACATTCTAGAAGAGTTAGAAAAGGCTTTAAAATTTGCTTTGTTTTTTCTATCAACACAATGACAAACGTAAATGGGTGGATTATAGAAACCACCAGGAGGTACACAGAACGGAATTCAAGGCTGTAAAATGAGATCCTCAAATCTACACGAGTATTTTCTAAAGCCTGTGGCTATGCTATCTATATGTTACTATGCTAAATTTAAATTCTTTTTGTCCAGCTTCAAAGACTAACCTCTTAACCTTCTCCAAGGTTTGTACCCTAAAAGGCCACACATTGTTACAAATTTTAAGAGCTCTCATACATGCATCCTTGACACTCTATGATTTTTCAATCTTGCCTTAGCATCAGATTCTCATTTTTGTTTTCAAAGGTGTATTTTCTTTTATGGTATCGCCACCACCTTTCCAATTTGCTGCTTTAAATTTGCTTAAGCTCAGAAACACCAATAACAAAACAAGCTCACTGAAATCTTGTGAAATACAAAACTTCCAATGGGTGAAGTAGAATATAGACTTTGTGATATACATTGGTCATTCCCTACTGGTAGCTCTGTTTTGAGAGAAGATATATTACTATTCTGGCTTTGAGTCATGAAGAATATGATATTTAAGTCTAAACATGCATTAGCCAATCCTGAAAAATCAACATACTTATAATCCAAAATGACTTAATAAATATTTAGTTATAGATGGGAAGGCACATTACCCAGTCAAGAAACCTGCTCGTATAGCAGAGTGGAACAGTGACTACGTCTGCAGAAAATATGTTCATATACAAGCTACAAAAAAAATCAAATGTGCTGTAAAACAAAGGGAGCAGAGGAGTCCCTAAGGATAAGGAATGTTTGAACAAGAGAAGAAAGAGGCTCATTCAATGCTCTGTACTAAAAAATGAGCCTCAGCTTCAGAAAGAAGTTAGGGAGTCTGCTCCCAACTCATTCTGGCCCAAAAGGTGAAGAAGGCAGAACGTCAGGAAGAATAATGGGGTAAAGAAAGGCATCCCAGGGAGTTTGACACAGGTAAAGACTAACAGCCGCTTTCTTGTTTCAATTAAGGGAAGACCAGTAGACACAGAAGAAAGGTTGCCTTGAAGGCACACAGTGGCATTATTTCCATTTTGGCTAGGGCCAGCCCTGCTTATTTCCACCAAATGTGGATAACTAAGAAGACTCCTAGAGCTTTTTTTTTTTTATCATATAAGCTTGGCAGATATGTTGTTTTTAAACCTGACGACATGCTATGTGTGTGTGTGTGTGTGAGTGTGTGTATTCTTTCATGTAATACATGTTTTCTTTGTAAGGTTAACATGACAGCTTCATTAATCAAGTTATCATAATTAAAATTTGACTAGAGTTTAATATGTAATATTACTTCTTTTGTGGGACGCCTGGGTGGCTCAGTCAGTTAAGTGTCTACCTTCGGCTCAGGTCATGATGCTAAGGTCCTGGGATCATATCCTACATCATGCTCCTTGCTCAGCAGGGAGACTGCTTCTCAACTCTGCCTGCTCCGCCTGCCATTCCCCCTGCTTGTGCTCTGACAAATAAATAAATAAAATCTTTAAAAAATATATTACTTATTTTGCAATGACAGAACATATACCTATGGGAAATAGTGGCCCAACTGCTTGCAGTGGCGATTAAATGGGTGGCAATTAAATTTGTGCTTTCCTTACACTGGCCTCTGCTCCCTGCTAGGCTCTTAAGAGAGAAGAAACATGATATCAAAATCTCTAATTTTTAGGATGGAAGGTATTGACAAAACCTAGAGTATACAGCTTAAAAGTCTGATGGTTCCAAAGGCATTCCTGAGTTGCTCCATGCAGATAAGGCTCTCAGAATAAGATTGTAGATACATATTTAAGACTAAATGCCTATTTCTACCCTTCTGTGATTTTTCGCCTGAAATCTGCCACCCAAGTCTCCTTGTCCCTCTAAGTCTCTCTGTGACTATGTACTCTATAAGACTGATATATCAGCATCTGAGTTTTTCAAGCCAATCGCTTATAGTTACTTATTAAAAAACAAACAAAAATCAAGTTTGTAAAGAAGGGATACTTACATGTAGTAAACATGGCCTCCCTTTGCCCTCTTTATACTTTATTCAAACAAAAGTTAAAAAGTGACTGTAATTTATATTCAGATAATTAAGAAGTGATTATATTTCCTCCTGCATCCATTGTATATAAGTGTAATGACAGGATCTCTTAGATGCTTTGGGTACTAGGGGAAAAAAGCAGACCTTGATAAAATGCAACATATGATCACACAAATTTGAGTACTATGTAAGCAGTTAGCCATAAGAACTCAAACTTAAGTACTTATTACCTTCACTAGGAGGGAAAAATACATGAACTGCCTAAAAAATGTAGCGTTTTTAAAAATTCATATTTACTTCCAGCTATTCTGTGGCTATTTACATTGTGGGTGCTTTTAAAGGTCAAAAACAACGAACTGTCTAAAAATATTCTGAACAGCAATGGTATTACACTGTGAATTTTATTTTCAGATTCTGGTCAATAAAGACAAAGATAATAAAGTTAAGCAATCAAAAGAAGTACCAAAAAAGACATTCATATACACAAAAGATATGAACAGTATAGATTCACTTCCAGTTCATTCAATTCTTACATTTAAACTATAAAATACATCTTAATTTGTCAAGAAATTGACCACATTTAGCACCAGGAACTTTACTTTAGCTTTTGATCATGACTTCACTATCTTGTCATAGGAAAAGAAATTTCATGGAAAATATATGTTTATAACTGTCAATTAATAAAAAAATTAATTTTGGAAAGTGCTGCATATCGTCAATTCATGAGTGATTAAAAGGGAATAAATCCTTAAAACTGGGACTACTTGATATTGCGCACAACTCTCCTACAGTGGTTTGTTTTCATCTCCTCCAATGCTTGTTCCAGTTGCTGAACCAAATGGAGCAGAGTGGCTGGGTCTGTCTGCAGAACTTTGGTGCTGTGATCTCCATTCTGATTAAGGTGTAGCTTTATAGTCACTGATGGTTTAATCTGTTGCCTCAGGCTTCTGCTTGCAAGCTTCATTTTAAATAGAATAAGAGCATATAACTGTTTAATAATCATGCTGAACACACAATATTTGTAACCACCTTATATCATATACAAAAATAAAACTTTACATGAATCATAGACTTCAAAATGAAAACTAAAGTTTAAAAAACTTTGGAAAGAAAGAAGAGAATATATATACAACGTTGCCATACAGGATTTCTTAAACATGATATATAAGACATAAACCATAATGAAAAAAACCAATAAACTGAAATACATTAAGATTATTACATTTTCTTCTAAAGGATACCTAAAGATGGTAGAAAAACAAACCACAAGCTGAGAGAAGACACTTTGTAACACATACAACCAAAAAATAGATCAGTACCCAGAACTTATGAAAAACTGTTCTGATTAAAAACAAAAAAAACCCACAAGAACAAGAGAAAAATGTGCATTAGAGCTAAGTAAGCAGTTCACAAAAGAAGTAACACAAATAAATAAACATAGGAAAACATATTCAACTTTATTAGAAATCAGGAAAATGGCCAATAAAACCATACAGTTCTGTTTTACACATATCAGCCCGTCAAGAATTAAAAGCCTGTCCAAATGAAGGCATTGTGAGCAACGATAATGGAACTCTCTTCCACTGCTGGCGAGAATGGAAAGAGAATCACTTCGGAAAACAATATACATTACCATCAATTCCACTCCTAGGTGTATACCTTGAATTCTTAACATTTCTACATTATATTCATGACAGTAATTGTTTTTGTTTCCAAGATTTTGTTTCCAATTCCAAAAATTAGAAACGTCTCAAATATTCTTTAATAACAGAATGGATACATTGAGAATACTCATACAATAAAATGCTTACTAAATGGCAATGAAAAGAACTATAGCAATATAAATTGTTATGGATAAATCTAGTAAAATGTTCAATCAAAAAGGGAGTTGAGGGAAATTGGAAGGGGAGGTGAACCATGAGAGACTATGGACTCTGAAAAACAATCTGAGGGTTTTGAAGGGGCGGGGGGTGGGAGGTTGGGGGAACCAGGTGGTGGGTATTGGAGAGGGCACGGATTGCATGGAGCACTGGGTGTGGTGCAAAAACAATGAATACTGTTATGCTGAAAATAAATTAAAGAAAAAAAAGGCAAGCTGCAAAATAAGGTTTGATGTAAAAAAGGAACTATAAAGAAAGGACTGGGGTGCCTGGGTGGCTCAGTGGTAAAAGCCTCTGCCTTCGACTCGGTTCATGATCCCAGGGTCCTGGGATGGAGCCCCACATTGGGCTCTCTGCTCAGCAAGGAGCCTGCTTCCCCCTCTCTCTACCTTCCTCTCTGCCTACCTGTGATCTCTGTCTGTCAAATAAATAAATAAAATCTTAAAAAAGAAAGAAAGAAAGAAAGAAAGAAAGGAAAGAAAGGAAAGAAAGAAAGAAAGAAAGAAAGAAAGAAAGAACGAACGAACGGACTAACGGAAAATTCAGGATAATGGTTCCTTCAGAGGAGTGGGAGGGGTTGTAACTGGGGGAGGTCATATGTGGTCTTGATGTATTTCTTAAGCTTGGCAGTGGGTACTTGTTTTATTATTATTCTTTAAACTGAATAGCTATAATCTTTTGTTTGTATGATATATTTCAAAAATTTTTAAAGAAAATACTACTGACATACTTTTAAAAGAAAAAAAAATATCCAAATACTAGAAACGATGGCTAACTTGGAAGCGTTAGCATTTACTTAGTCCTAGCACCAGACTGTTCCCTAAAGACCATTCTTCCTTAAAAGAAAAGAGGACATCTTTAAAGGAATAGCTGATTAGAGGTCTGGGACAACAATTGTACAAGATGAACCTGAAGCATCTTGTTACATAAGAAGGCAAGACTGTTACCTAAAACTACCAGAGTCATGGCAAAAGGAGAAGAAGCCAAACTGAAGAAACAGAATAGTCTGACTAATAACTTCTTCCAATTAATTCTAGGTGATCTGGCTTCCAGAAGAACCCAAGATACTGATCCATGGCTGAAATTTAATGTAAAAAAATAACTTGGAAACAATAGACTGATACCCTTGAGTAAGCCAGTTCCCAAACGTAAGAGATACTTTTAAGTTAAAGTATCTCTTTAAGATCATTTCTCTAGTACAGAAAATTATAGGTATAAAAGACAGGTAAACTATTAAGTATGATGGCTGAAAAGACTACTTACTGACTCACTTATGCATTGTTTATACTTTTTTCTCTATATATGCCTTACCCATAGGGATCAAATGTATCTAGGTGTGTAATTAAGCCATGAAATCTTTTTAAAAGATTTTATTCATTTATTTATTTGAGAATGAAAGAGAGAGAGAGAGAGCATGAGGGGGGAGCAGACTCCCTGTGGGCAGGGAGCCCAATGTGGGACTCAATCCCAGGACTCCAGGAACATGCATGACCTGAGCTGAGGGCAGTTGCTTAACCAACTGAGCCACCCACGTGCTCTAAGCCATGAACTTTTTGTTTAGAGACTTTAGGTCAATCTAGCCTCAAATTTTTAGACAACATAGTATCTAATCAATATCCCTTGCAAATAAGTATCTACACGATTCTTTAAAATTTATAAATAAAGATTATATAACATTCCAAACAAACACCTAGTAAGACATAATCAGACCTAATTTTTTCTCAGAAAGAAATTTTGATGACAATATAGGATAAAGAACAGTAGGCCACAAAGTTCCTGATATGGACTTATTTTTTTTTTAAGATTTTATTTATTTGACAGAGAGATCACAAGTAGGCAGAGAGGCAGGCAGAGAGAGAAGGGGAAGGAGGCTCCCTGCTGAGCAGAGAGCCCAATGTGGGGCTCCATCCCAGGACCCTGAGATCATGACCTGAGCCAAAGGCAGAGGCTTAACCCACTGAGCCACCCAGGCACCCCTGGACTTATTTTTTAATAGAGAGGAAATTCTGTCCTTATAAAAATAACAAGAGCAATTTATTAATTTTTTTTTAAGATTTTTAAAGTTTATTTATTTGACAGACAGATCACAAGTGGGCAGAGAGGCAGGCAGAGACAGAGAGAGGGGGAAGCAGGCTCCCTGCTGAGCAGAAAGCCCCATGCGGGGCTTGATCCCAGGACCCTGGGATCATGACCTGAGCTGAAGGCAGAGGCTTTAACCCACTGAGCCACCCAGGCACCCCAAGCAATTTATTTTTTTAAAAGATTTTATTTATTTATTTGAGATGGAATGAGAGAGAGAGAACATGAGAAGAGGGAGGGTCAGAGGGAGAAGTAGACTCCCTGCTGAGCAGGGAGCCTGATAAGGGACTCCATCATAGGACTCCAGGATCATGACCTAAGCTGAAGGCAGTCACTTAACCAACTGAGCCACCCAATTGCCCCAACAATAGCAATTTAAATGGATCAGTCCTAAAGGTAAATCTTCCCACACCAAACTCAAGTGCATTCAATTTATTGATGCTATTAAATACACTAATTTTGCTGGCAATTTATGAAGGGAAATGTTTCTATTAGAAACTGAACTATGATGATTAATGTATTTCTTATAAGCAACTGCACAATAATTAGATGGTAACTGTCCACTAACTACCAGTGTTGAGACAAATCAGTTACTCAAAAATGAAAGGTCCAATATCCTGTTACTTGTTTCCCAGCCGTTTGGCTGATCTTCTGTCAAGTCTTCCTCCCATAAACAGAAAGAAGAATCTATTCCAGTTAAAATCCCTTGTAATAATTTTGACTAGTGAGCTCAGAAAATCAGTTAGTTCTTTAAGTAGTTTTTTTAGCTCTAAATGCACTTCACCACATGAAGCAATACTCATTCAGCATACCCTCTACTTTAACTGTATTAGTCCTTGCGAGAGCATGGCTATTCAAACCCATTTCACTTGGTAAATGAGCTCTCCTGAGTTTTAGAAAATTCAACTGCTTAAGTTTCTAATTTTTTAAAATGTCTTCATAATGGAAAAACTCAAAGTAAATCACAAAGCCAAAAAAAAAAACTTTTAAGGGCTACCAGAACCCAAAAGTCAGAAATAACCCCCACTCAAGAATGAGGTAAATATGTGCAAGATAAATTACTACTGAATCTCATGAATATGACCATCCCCACACCTCCTGGTTATTATGAGAAGACTGAAACGTAAAAGCTTAGCAACACTGATCTCCTCCTCCCCGGGAACCCCACAGGAGTTGCTTCTTATGATGTTTCCAAGAGCATGAACTATGTCTATGTCTGGTTCTTTGTGAATCCACACCACCTAGCACATGACAACCGTACAAGAAACAGTTGTTAAACAACTTGTTTAAGAAGCTACCTCCCCTATCCCCACCCCTACCTTTTTTAATATTCAGCACTGAATGCCTATTATGTACCAGGCATTGTGCTGGGGACAGAGTAGTGAACAAGACACAGTACCTTGGAGTACTCATGGAGCCTATAGTCTGGTTTATACCATATCTGTGTTTCTACCTATTCAAGCACTCATCACACTGGATTATACTTGCTAGACCCTCTAACTGAATTTCTGTAACCTGTCTGGACCATCTTATCACCATTCTAATCAGGAAGAATCCACTGTAACAGTGGCTTACAAAGTGCAAGCTAGAATTCCCCGGGTAAGAAGGTTTAAAAAAATCCTGATGCCTAGGCCAAATCCCATAACGATAAATCAGCATCTCTGGGGGTAGAACACAGACATGAAAATATTTTAAAACTACCCAGGCCATTTCAATATGCAGTCAAGTTTGGGGACAAGTGCACTATACCACATATTCAATGCTCATTCTCATATCCATATAGCCCTTTACAACTTACACTGCCTCCTTTTCCAAGAATATTAACACTGGTTTTCTCCATCCATTCATCCTTCTGAAATTTCACCTTTTGCTGAAGCTTTTCTGGACCGTGCAAGCATACGCTGAACTACCGAAGCTATAGATTTTTGAAATATAGTACTCAGTTGTACCTTCATTTATACAATTATATTTCCCCCTCCAGAAATTTACTTTACAACTATCTTTAATTACTAGTTATTCTGAGACCATCTAATATCCCTAACTAGATGATAACATCTTTTCCATCTGAGAAAATGTCTTATGCTTCTTTGTTCGAAAGCATTTAGCACAGCTATAATCAGCAAATGGATGACATTCAATAAACATCTATTAACTTATCTGTCACTGCGTGATAAAGGGCTACATGCAAGAGTCTGAGAACTCCCTTTTGGTTATCTGTGTGGCTTTACAAACAACTGAATCTTTCAAACAGAACATATAAAAGTAGTCAGACAAAAAAGAATATTTACTGAATCATTTCATATATAGAAAGTTAAAGAACAGGCAAAAGTAAGCTACATATTTGAAGCCAGGATGCTGGTGACCTTTGGAAAGGAAGGAAGGGGAAGTAATTGGTAGGTAGCAAAGAGGATGCTTCTGGGGTGCCTGTCATGGGCGAGAGTTGGTTTCATGGGTGTTTCACCATGTGATAACCCACTGAGCATTACAATGACCTGTGTACTTTATGTGTGTTTTATGTTTAAACATAAAAGTGTCATAAAATCAAATATGAATTTAAAAATCTGCATGATCATCTCCTTTCCAAAATAACCTATTTCTTACAAACTTTGCAAATTAAACTACTCTAAACACATTAAGCATAGAAGAAAATGAACTGTTTGTGAAATGGTCTCAAAACAAACATTAAAAAAAATTAGTTTCAAACCAAAGTTTAGTTAAGGTGGTAAAGAATATAATAAGTTTAAGGACATGGAACTAAAATTAATCTTCTATTATATGTCAGGTGGGAAAAAAAAATCCATACCTGTACATCTAGTCGCCATTCAAGGCTGTGGTAACTTGGAAGGTCTGGTGCCAATTCACTCAGAATAGTTCTGATCTCTTTTCGGTTGTCCAGATAAAGCTGAAGCAGTAATTTGTTCAATTCTTCAGAGAATCCCAGAACAAAAACAGAGTCTTGGAAATCCAGTTCAGAAATCTGAAGGTGAGTCAAGTTTAACAGAACATTAATTTTTTGTCTAGTAACTGCTAAAATATTTGATATACACAAAAGACTGTGATATCTCCTAATTCTTTTCTGGCTGGTAAAAGAAACAACATCCTTTAAAGGTAACTCCTGCCCACTACTCTAAAATCTGAGTCTCTGATACATAAAAATACTTTTATTAAAACATAAAAAGAATTGTTAAAATGGCCAACTTCTCTCCTATTCTCCATCAAGCTAGATAGTGCTAGTGCGCAAAATAAAATAAAATAAAATAAAATTCTCCCTTCTCCTAGGATATGTCCTACTGTATATGGTTTAATAGCATGCAGAATTAGAATTAGAAGTAAGTCTAATTTATACTAGCAAGAGGCATTCATACCAGCGGATCACATTATAGTCCTATTGTTTACATATGGCTTCACTAAGTCCATTATAAACCACTAACAACATAACTGAAATGAGCAGGTGCCTGCCAGGGCTATGACGTAGAGTATACTGCACCTTTTTAAGGTCAAAGAAATACAAAACAGTTCACAGAACCCCTTACCATAAGCTTCGAGCTTTCAGTGAGGAGGTACGTTAATCCTTCCACACCATGTTGGACAGTGTCACTGCTCACATTGAGTTTTCCTGGGAAAAGGAAACGTAAGCCAATAAATTACTGTGTGATATTTATCCCTTTATTCAAGTTCTTATTTAGGTGTAAATATTATCCATTATTCCAAACTTTCAGGCACTGTAATGAAAAATAATGAGTTGGTAATAGCCTCCTGTTCATTCTCCACTGCGAGACAGATGCCTTCGGTATTTCCTGCCGTGTAAACTTCTTTACAAAATGCAAGCCCATGGAGACTATTATCAGCTGTACAGTCCTCTTGCACGCCCAGCTATTTCAAGTCTGAAGAAGAGGAACTCCAAGGACTGACAATCTCAGAAACCACCCTCGTCCAACAGGGAAAAAACAATACTGCAGAAAAGCGGATGTCTGAACAACTAATTATAACCAAACACTTGCAGGATATTAATGCCTCACCCTGCTTTCCACACCCTTGGGTGCATCGAAGCATCATAGGATCTCTGGCAGATGGTATTATGCGCTTTTTACGCACGACAAAACCAACTTAGTGGAAACTTTTAAAATCTCAAAGCTACTTAGGGGACGGGAAGGATTTGTGCCCACAAGAGCCCTACCACAACTCTACCTACCACATTCTACCCTATTAGCCCTAACCAATTAGCCCTACCACATTCTACCACAATGAAAGTTAAGACCTGGGAGCTGAAAAACCCCTTCCTCTGCAGGGTGCCAAAAAAAGGCCCGCACTTCCCCGCGAGGCAACTCTCCCCGTCTTACTGGCGGCGCCTTCGTAGATCTTGGGGTTCGAGCCTCGCCTCAGGAACTCCACCGCAATCCGCCCAAACTCCGCGACCACTGCAACGGAAGTCAGGAGCCCATGAGAGCCGGGCGCACCCCTGATCCCCCAGGCCACAGGACACCACCCTCTGCTGCCGCGCCCTCTGACCCGTGCTGTCCACTTGCGGCAAAAACGCCAAGTGCTCCTTATGCTCCTCGGACAGGTCCAACAGCATCTTCGCAAGGCGGAGGATTTCTCCGGGCAGCGTTAATCCCGCCCTCGCCACTTCCGGGCCAGCGTCCAAGCGCAAAGAGGCTCCGGCTCCTCAACATCCCCAGCTTTTGGGTTCCGGTCTTTCGCAGTCGTACACGCAAACGCCCGCGGGTGGTGAATTCTGGGGTCAGAAGATTGTTCCGTTCGCAAATCGTCTTGAAAAGATGTAGCTTGGTGGTGCACGGTGCTATGCTCGGTGGAAGATGAAAAGATGTTTAAAATCCGACACGCCCCCTTGTGGAGCTTACGTTAATAATATCTGTAGCTAGCATTTACTAAGCATTATGTCGGGAAATGTTCTGACATTTATTAGAGTTCTAAAGGGTACCATTATTGCTCCCATTATTGCTCCCATTAGAGATGAGGAAACAGAGAATGGTCAAGCAACTGAAACTAACTTTTATAGAGCTATTAGTTTGCACAAAGCTTTTGTATATGTTACATGTTTTGTATATGTTACCTTATTTGATTGGCCTTATTTAATTCGCTCAATAGCTATGACCTCGTTTTTACAGATGAAAAATCAAAGCTCCAAAGATTACATAATAAGCCAGAGACAGAGCTGGAAAGAGAGGGTCAGATCCCTTGACGACCTGCTTCAAAGCCCATCATTCTATACAGCAGGCTGAAAACTGAAGGTTTGTAACAAGTTCTGTAAATGATTATGAATTAGGATAAAGATGGTGATGACGATGACAATGACTGATGCTTGCAGGGTTCAGAATGATATCTTTATTTTAATATGTTGAGAGTAGAGTGAAAATAAATTTGTTTCCTTTTCCAGCTTTCTCTTCTCACCTGCGGTTGTTCAGATATCAGAGTACAGAATTGCTAACTGATAGGAATGTGACTCTCCAAATCTGAACCCCTTGGTGGGGGAGTTGGTGGGGGAAAAGGGGAGGGGGTCGGAGAGATACTTCATATCTCTTGTTCTATCTAAGGATTGAGATTACTTTTTCTGATTCTCTTGGGCAGAAATGAAAATTGGAAGTTTTTCAGCTCTGTTCACCGTGTGTACCTTGTCTTTCACATTGAAATTGTTTGTTTCCTCCACTGATGAACTTAAACTTGTTAGTTAGGTCATGAAGCAGCATTTGCAGAGAGAGTGTAATTTTTTTAAGTTGCAGATCAGAATAAATAGCATCGTTTCCTGAAGAAGCTTTTATTCATACATTATTGAGAAAATGTCCATTATTTAAGAATAATTTTCAAAAAAGGTAAAACCATGATTCTTTTTTTTTTAAGGTTTTTACTTATTTGACAGAGAGAGATAGTGAGAGAGGAACAACAAGCAGGGGGAGTGTGAGAGGGAGTAGCAGGCTTCCCGCTGAGCAGGGAACCTGATTCAGGCTGGATCCCAAAGTCCTGGGATCTTGACCTGCGGAAGGCAAAGGCTTAACAACTGAGCCACCCAGGGGCCCCCAAACCATGATTCTTTTATAAATGTATAATGAATACTTGTCAAAGATTGTGTTGGACCCCTGGGTTAATGAGGGGATTAGTAAGATTACAGTAAAAACCAGTTTCAACTGGCACGAAGGAAATAATTCAAGAACCATACATCCGTAGAGAATAAGAAATGTTGAAATGAATCTACAAATAGATATAATACTATGCCAATATGGTATAGCCTTTCTTTCCTGTGATCTCAGGGACTGAAAATGGGGGCAGGGGAGGGAGATAGGGAATAGGAGAACCAAAATGGGTGGAAGGTGGTCAAGAAGCCAAGTTACAGCTGGGGGAAAACCGCCTGGAAGTTAAACTCTCTGGGATAATTTGCAGGGCAACTTTTTGTTACCCAGTGTGATATAGTTGTTTAGAGGAAATTACCTGAATGAAAATATCAAAAGTCTGGATTCCAGATCTGGCTCTCATACCTACCACCTGTAAGGCCTCCAGCAAGTCTTTTTATATGTTATAGACTTAACCTCTTCATTTGTAAATGGGTGGTTGTTGTTGTTGTTTAAGATTTTATTTATTTGCCAGAGAGAGAGAGAGAGAGAGAGAATGAGCACAAGCAGGGGGAGTGGCAGGGAGAGGGAGAAGCAGGCTCCCCACAGAGCAGGGGGAGCCCGATATGGGACTGTATCCCAGGACCCTGGGATCATGACTTGAGCGGAAGGCAGTTGCTTGACTAACTGAGCCACCCAGGCATCCTATAAATGGGTGTTTTAATGATGATTGCCTTTATGTGTCATACAGGGCTGTTATTATGCTTAGAGGAACTAATAAATTCACATTAAAAAATTGATTTTAAGGGCGCCCGGGTGGCTCAGTCAGTTAAGCATCTGTCTTTAGCTCGGCCCAGGATCTTAGGGTCCTGGGATCCATACCCACATCATACTCCCTGCTCAGTGGGGAGTCTGCTTCTCCCTCTCCCTCTGCCCCCTGTTGTGCTCTCCCTCTCTCACTCTATCTCAAATAAGTAAAATTTAAAAAAAATTGGTACTAATGATCAAATGAAACAATAAATTAGTGTTAAACACTTGAAAGACTTGTAAACTGAAGCATTTATATTTTATAGGAGAAGATTTTATGTGCCCAAATCATTGAGAATTCCGTGTGCATAATCATCCTAAAGTCCATTCATTTAATGCAACAAATATTTATAGAGCAATTACTCAAAGGTTCAAGCATACACACTATGCCTTGGCAATTTGGAGATGAATAAAACAATGTCCTTTCCTCTAGGAGATGACAATAAAGTGAGGAAGACAATCAAGTGAAATCAATACTGTATGATGAGTGATAATAGTTGAGGACTGAACAAAATGATATGCAACCATAGAGAAGGTAGCAATTAACTCTGATTCCAATAAGATTCAGGTTTAGAATAAGTGTCCCAGGGTATGCCTGTGCCTGCTAATACTAATGTTTACAACTGTGCAGCACTAAGTATAGAAGGTCTTAAAGTCACTTCATGCTGTGTCACTCCTAGGGCAAAGTGATGAAAGAAGAACGACTCATTATTTTTTCTATTGACTCTGGCGGGGAACAAGGATTCATAACAATTGTCCTCTCACATTCTCTCCTTGTCTCTCTAACTCCCTGACCTTTTGCACTTTCCTTTTCCTTTAGATTTCCCCACATTCCTTTTTCTTTCTTAGGCATTCCAGCCCCAGAATCTCTGCACCAGTATTTCCTTGATGGTGTTTCAACGTTACATAAAATATTATCATTCCTTGCAAGGAGATCCAGTTCAATTCAGCATACTGTGAAGGGCATAAAAGCATCGTGATACCATCACTCTTATGAATTGCACTGTCATGATTCTGAAGCAAGCACAAAATGCATGAATTAGTTCTTTAGATTTTTAAAGAATTGTTTTAGTGTATTTATTCATTTTATTTATTTATTTATTTATTTATTTATTTTGAGAGAGAGAGAGAGAATGTGTGCGTGAGCATGAGCAAGAGGCAGGGGCAGAGGGAGAAGCAGACTTCCCGATGAGCAGGAGCCAGACAGGCAGACAGAGGGATGTAGGGTTGGATCCCAGGACTCTGAGATCATGACCTAAGCCAAGGGCAGACACTAAACTGACTGAGCCATCCAGCCACCCCTAAAAAAATTTTTAGTTCACTTTTTCAATTGGATTATAAAATGCAAACAGAAACTGGGAAAGATTAAAAAAAAAAAAAAAACTTCCTGTTGAATTTCCTCAAATTGAGCACACCGAGTAACCCAGATGGAGAAATACCCCAGAACCTCAGCAGGGCCCTCTTCCAGTTACTATCCCTTCTTGTTGTCTCTATAGTGAACTAACACCTATACACATGCTGCTTTCCAATATCTCTTTGATATCATCTTTGTATTTGCTTTTCTTTTAAATATTTTATTTATTTATTTGACTGAGAGAGACAGCAGGAGAGGGAACACAAGCAGGGGGAGTGGAAGAGGGAGAAGCAGGCTTCCTGCCAAGCAGGGAGCCAGGTGCTGGGCTGAATCCCAAGATCCTGGGATCATGACCTGAGCTGAAGGCATAGGCTTAACAACTGAGCCACCCAAGCACCCCATTCATTTTTGTATTTGCTTTTACATTAACCTTCTATGTGCCCCAACCCCATAGTATCTAACTAGAAACTTTAAAGTATTTTTAAAAATGAGCTTTAGGTTTTAGGTGCCTTTGACTGTTGTAACAAAGTCTGTCTTAGAAATCTTCCTAGCAGGGCACCTGGGTGGTTGTCGGTTGAGCGTCTGCTGGGAGTCTGCTTCTCCTCTGCCTTTCACCCTGCTTGTGTTCTCTCTCTCTCTCTCTCAATCAAATAACAAGTTAAAAAAAAAAATCCTAAGAAGAAAAATCTTCCTAGCAAATACTATAAAAAAATATAAAGTATTTAAGAAAAATTTAACAAAATATTTGTAAGACCCCTACCCTAAAAACTAAAAAAACACTGATGAGAGAAATAAAAGAAGATTTAAATAAATGGTGACATGGATAGAGAAATATATCATGGGTTGTAAGAGGCAATATTATTAAGATATTATTTTTGCTTTTTTATAGAGAATGACAAGTTTCCTTAAAAATCTATATGAAAATGCAAAGGACTGAGAATAACTGAAACAAACTTGGAAAAAGAAGAATAAGGCCAGAATAGGCATACTATCTGATTTTAAGACCCACTGTACAGCTATAGTAATTAAGACAGTGTGGCATTAGTATAATCATAAATAAATAAATAAACGGAACAAAATAGAGAGTCTGGAAATAGATCCATAATGATATTGTAATGATTTTTTAAAAGATTTTTTAATTTATATATAAATAAGATTATTTTTATATAAATAAAATTAAATATAAATAAAATATTAATATTTTATTTATTTATATTTATATTTATTTATTATTTATTTTATTTTAAAAAAGATTTTATTTATTTATTTGACAGAGATCACAAGCAGGCGGGGTGGGGGTGGGGAAGCAGGCTCCCTGCTGAGCAGAGAGCCCGATGTGGGGCTCGATCCTAGGACCCTGAGATCTTGACCTGAGCCAAAGGCAGAGGCTTAACCCACTGAGCCACCCAGGCACCCCTGTAAA